CCACCTGCGGAGAGAAGGTGGCCTTGAGCATTCAAGCTTATGAGATATAGGTCACAGAACGAATAACATCGGGGGACACTGAGCAGCTACAGATGGAATCATTCCTCCCTGGTCAAAACTTAGAACAGCACCGAGCACAGAGCCGTGCAGCTCATAGGCTCTGGAAATTCTTTGCTGAATGAGGGAGTGAATGGGGGGGGGCGTGCCTTGGAGGGAGGGAGAAAATTCCCAGACTTCACCCAAAGGGAGGATGGTCTTCCTGTCCATAGGTGTTGCTGGAAGCCGGGTTGGAAAGAACACAGAAAAACAAAGCAATGTTAAACTTGACAAAACGTGAGAGTGAGTGATTTGTAAAAACTTAAGTTCAAAAATTTCTCAGAAAACATGTTAATGAACAAATAGAGGATTAGTCTTTCAAACAGATATTAACAAATAAGGAAATTAAATGAATCCATGTGACACTAGTACCAGGGCCATTACACCAGGCTGACACCAGTGCTCGCACCGGTAAGCTTTTACCACAGAACAAGGAGTTCATTCAAAGACAATAGTTCAAGTTGCACTGATCCAGTTTCAGCAGAGTTGTTGGAAAGGAAATGATGGTACTTGCTCAGGAAATCCTGACTATGTTTCTAGTAGATGCAGAGCTGCATGCTGATGACACAACTAATAGTTTCTTATAAATGTGACCTATTACCCTTCTGTAAAAGTGACTGACTGAAGAAAGCCTCCTTCCATGTTCTCCCAGAGTGGTTGACACAGCAGCCCACAAAACACCACTTTTACATTGTGGGTCTATTTTATTGAAGAGTCATACAAGAAATCCGATCACAGTAAACATGTTTCTCCTAAAAATAACTTCAGGCCATCACTTGTACTTTAAAAAAAAGACTTTTCTTCTGGCATATAAAGGGAGAGATAACAGATGTTGGTTTAGAAGAGAAGAAGGCAGGGAAAGGACTTGAACCTTTTCTGTGTCATTTCTATGGCCTCAAAAATTGATGAAAAAGAAATCTAATCCTTTGGAAATCTTTTTACTTGAATTTTCTCATTAAGGGATGCCTGTTGACAGCTAAAAGAATCCAAGTGTGTCATCAAGAACAGAAGTACTGCCCACAGAGAAACGGCAGATACAATGGAAGCCACAGTGAAGCATCTACTTTGTCTTAGATCATGTCTCCTCAGCTTTGTTTCCTCACAGCACCGAGCACAAAGCCGTGCAGCTCATAGGCTCTGGAAATTCTTTGCTGAATGAGGGAGTGAATGGGGGGGGGCGTGCCTTGGAGGGAGGGAGAAAATTCCCAGACTTCACCCAAAGGGAGGATGGTCTTCCTGTCCATAGGTGTTGCTGGAAGCCGGGTTGGAAAGAACACAGAAAAACAAAGCAATGTTAAACTTGACAAAACGTGAGAGTGAGTGATTTGTAAAAACTTAAGTTCAAAAATTTCTCAGAAAACATGTTAATGAACAAATAGAGGATTAGTCTTTCAAACAGATATTAACAAATAAGGAAATTAAAAATGTTTGACACAGGCACTGTTAAATGAGATAATAGCCCACAAGTTAACCCCATATGTAGGAAATCAGCATATGATATTAGAAATATTTCATCATAAAGGCCATCTATGACAAGCCAACAGCCAGTATCATTCTCAATGGTGAAAAGCTGAAAGCAATTCCATTAAGATCTGGAACAAGACAAGGATGTCCACTCTCACCACTGCTTTTCAATATAATACTGGAAGTCCTAGCCAGGGCAATAAGACAAGAGAAAGACATCCAAGGAATCCAAATAGGAAAAGAAGAAGTCAAACTATCACTATTTGCAGATGATATGATAATATACATAGAGAACCCCAAAATCTCCACAGAAAAACTAATTCAACTCATCAATCAATTCAGTAAAGTGGCAGGATACAAAATCAACACGCAAAAGTCAGTAGCCTTCCTATACACAAACAACAAATCTGAAGAAGAAGAAATCAAAAAACCATCCCTTTTATTATCGAAACAAAAAAAATCAAATATTTGGGAATAAATCTAACAAAAGAGGTAAAGGACCTATACAAAGAAAACTATAAAACACTGTTAAAAGACATAGAAGAAGACACAAAGAAATGGAAAGACATCCCCTGCTCATGGATTGGAAGAATAAACATTATTAAAATGGCCATCCTACCAAAAGCAATATACAGATTCAATGCTATTCCAATCAAAATTTCAATGTCATTCTTCAAAGAAATAGAACAATTATTGATGAAATTCATATGGAATCACCAAAAACCCTGAATAGCCAAAGCTCTCCTGAAAAAAAAAGAAGGGAATGGAGGCATTACACTCCCAGACTTCAAACTATACTACAAAGCCATAATCATCAAAACTGCATGGTATTGGAACAAGAACAGACATACAGACCAATGGAATCGAATAGAAAATCCAGAAATAAACCCACAGATTTATGGTCAACTAATCTTTGACAAAGGAGCAAAGACTATGCATTGGAGCAAAGAAAGTTTGTTCAATAAATGGTGCTGGGAAAACTGGGTCGCTACATGCAAAAGAATGAAGCTTGACCACTACCTCACACCATACACAAAAATCAACTCAAAATGGATTAAAGAACTAGACATAAGACCTGAAACCATAAAATACATAGAAGGAAATATAGGCGAAACACTACGGGATTTGCACATCAAAGACATCTTTACAGACACATCACCCAAAGCAGTGATAGTGAAGGCAAAGATAAACAGCTGGGACTACATCAAATTAAAGAGCTTCTGCACAGCAAAAGAGACAATAACAAAAACAAAGAGAAACCCCACCAACTGGGAGAACATTTTTGCACCCAACACTAATGATAAAGGACTGATCACAAAAATCTGCAAAGAGCTGATGAGACTCAACAACAACAAAGAAAATAATCCAGTCAAAAAATGGGCAGAAGAGCTAAAAAGAAACTTCTCTGAAGAGGAAATGCAAATGGCCAACAGGCATATGAAAAAATGTTCAACATCACTTGTCATCAGGGAAATGCAAATCAAAACTACCATGAGATACCATCTTACACCAGTGAGAATGGCACATATTAAAAAAACTAGCAACAACAAATGTTGGCGAGGGTGTGGAGAAAAAGGAACTCTCCTGCACTGTTGGTGGGAGTGCAAACTGGTCCAACCACTGTGGAGAGCTGTGTGGAGATTTCTGGACCTACTAAACATAGAGCTTCCATATGATCCAGCAATTCCACTCCTAGGTATTTACCCAAAGGACACAGAAACATCAATTCCAAAGAGCACCTGCACCCCTATGTTTATAGCAGCACTGTTTACAATAGCTAAGCTTTGGAAACAGCCCAAATGCCCAAAAATAGATGACTGGATCAAGAAGATGTGGTACATATATACCATGGAATATTACTCAGCATTCAAAAAAGATAAACACATGCAATTTGCAGCAACATGGATGGCGCTGGAAGGGATCATGCTCAGCGAAATAAGCCAAAAAGAAAAAGAAAAATACCGGATGGTCTCACTCATAGTAGGAATCTAGAAAACTTGAATAAGGGACCAGGAAAATGAATATAAGAAAGTGAAAATCAAAATCAACAAAAAACTATGAACCAGAGACACTTTTGGGGGTGGGGGGCGGGAGGGGAAGGATTGGGGTCAGAATGGGGCGTTTGCAATTGTATGGGGGAATATAAAAAGAAAAAAAAAAAAAAAAAAAAAAAAAAATAAGTTGGTCACAGGCACGTGACAAGGTAGGACATGCTCTTATAAAATATACTGTATTTAATGTATTCAATATATAAAGTGAAATTTAAAATAACTAGAAAGTAACTGAAAGTAAATTTCAGACTTTAATGAAATACCAGGTGTGCATATCAAAGGTAATAATGAAAATTTGAAGAAATAAGTGCTCTATCCAACAAGTGTAACTACATGAGTAACTACCATAAGTAGTTATCTGGCATAATAAAAATTTCTGAATAAAGAAAAAAAAAAAGAAATATTTCAAAAAAATGAAAAACGAGTGACATTCAATATGCAATGCTGAGAAACTTAGTCAACTGGAGAAAGAAATAGAGCTCTATTTAATTCTTATACAAAAATAAATTGCAGATGAAGAGATTTAAAAACAAAATTTTATTTATACACCCACATACACATTACAGGTATATATTACCACTAGTAGAAATTATGGCTTAGGTTATAAAATAGGATGCTAAAATTTGACTTACATAAAAAAATTCCAACATTTGTCTGGAAAAAATAAGTAACAGTCAAACAAAATGCTAATGACAAAAAGGAAAAAATGTCACATAAGAGATAAGGATTTAATGTTCTTCATATTCAAACAGTTCTACGAATTAGTAAAAAACAAAAAGAAGAAGGAGAAGAAACTCCTATTGCTTCACCCACTTGATAAGAGAAAAGAACAAACAAAGCTAGGAAACAATAACAGGAGCAAGAATGTACAGTGAACACATGAAAAGAGGCTCAGTCTTTTTCCTAGGTATAGAAATATAAGATAAAATATGACACTACTTCCACCTATCAGGTCAAAATGCTTGATAATACCCAGTACTAGTGAGGGTGTAGTAAGACTGACACTCACATACATTGCTAATAATGTCAATTGGTATAATAATGTTGGAGGGCATTAATCAAAAACAATCAAAATTAAAAGACACAAATTTCAAATAACCCATTCTGTGGGAAGAAATTTACCCTAAAGATACACCTGTATCAGATTTGTATGTGTTCACTGCAATAATGCTATGAGAGCAAAAAAAAAAAAAAAAAAAAAAAATCAGTAAGAATCTAAATGTTTACCCATAAGACTTTTTTTGAAAGTATGGCTCATTCATAAAATAGAATATGTAGAAACTAAAAAGCATGTCATAAGCCTCTAAGCAATGATGTATAAAACTGTTAAATCACAAGATCAAGTTGTAAAATAATCTAGTATGTTGTTTTAAAATTGTGCTAACGTGCCTGCTTCAGCAGCATCTATACTAAAATTGGAACCACACAGAGAAGATTAGCATGGCTTCTGCATAAGATGTTGTGCAAATTCATGAAGCATTCCATATTTTTTAAGAAAAATAAAAATGATATGATCCTATGAAGAGATGCCAAGAAAGCATTTGGTAAGATTCAACATCCATTAATGATGAAAACCCTCAAAAAACTGGGGATAGATGGAACATTCCTCAACGTGATAAAGGCCATAAATGATAAACCCACAGCAAGATCATTCTCAATGGTGAAAAATCAAAAGCTTTTCCACTAAGAACTGGTACAAGATAAAGATGTCTATTTTCACCACTAATATTTGATATAGTATTGGGATTCCTAGCTAGAGCAATCAGGCAAGAGAAGGATATAAAAGGAATTCAAATAAAGAAGTAAAGCTATCATTACTTGCAGATGACATAACATACATAGAAAACCCTAACAACTCCACTAAAAAACTAATTAAAACAATAAATCAGTCCAGCAAAGTGGAAGATTGAAAAATCAAAACACAAAAATCACTTGCCTTCCCATATGCAAACAATGAAAAGCCAGGCTTAGTATTTGACTCCCATCTGATAATTCCGTGTTCTAGCTCATTAGGTTGAAGGGGAAAAAAACAAATTCCTACTTCAACCTTTGAAACTACTGCTCATTTGGTAGCCATAAAAAAAAAAAAAAATCACTTGAAGAGATAGAGTTCACTACATACTGAAGTAAATAAGACTTAGAGATACCAATAAATGCCCAAGGCCATACAACTGTGAAATGTGGTGAACTCTGATCTAACTGACAGTAAAGCCTTGGCTAACAGTTGATAACCAAACCATGCAGAAGTGTTGGTGGGCACTGCTGAATGGGCAGAGCATCAGCATGGAGATATAAAAAAAGTAGAATCAATCTCGCCTCTCTCTTTGCATCTAAATTAAGCTAACAGCTACTGAGGATGTTATGTTCTCTCAATGCATTATCCTGAGTTTCCTACAAAGCTCTTTAAGTGGCATTCTCTAGTGACCAAGCCATTAGCTGGCGAAGGCAAGACCAGCATTCAAGGCAAGAGGATCTCTTGAGTGACCTGTTTAAGATTCTTCTGAGGTCTGTTCTTAAAGGTGTCTTCATGGTGCCAGGAATTAGGTCTTCAAGTTCTTGGAGACAGAGAATTCATCTGAACTGCCATCAAAATATATTCAATCAACTATTACTTAGGATGTGATAGCAAACTTAGCATTTTCTCTCCCCTTGAGTTGGGCCTATCCAAAGCGGTCAGAGAGGAAACTCATACCCGATCACTTTTTTTTTGTTGTTAGAAGCATTTGGGCCCATTGGCAATGGCAAAATGTTAAGAGATTAAAATTACTGAAGAAAATGAGTCTGGGAAAGATACTATGATTTAATTTATTCTGAGCTCCTTTATTCTTCATTAGCAAGTGTAAGGAGGGGTTGAAATAGAATAAGCAGTTCAGAGTGGGCTTTGAAGCAAAACTGCCTAGGTTGGAATCCTAAGGCTGTCATTTATTAGATGTTACTTAATCTTTCTATGCTCAGTTTCCTTTCTGGAAAAAAAAAAAGAGCATATTAACTCATGGAGCTGCTGTGATTATGCACTGAGAATAAAAAGTATAAGCATTCAGCAGAGGAATCATTCAGTACAAGTTTGCAAATACATTTCAGTTGATGAATTTATCCTGGTCCTTTGGTTCTTGGGTGAGTTCAATTTACTGTTTTTAAGACCTCCCTAAAAACACAGAAAAAGAAGGTAAATTTTAAATCATCAAGGTGAGCAGGAATTAAATGTCCTAGGTGAGACCTGTGGAAAAATTAAAGGCATTGGCCAAAATGAAATTTAGAGGTTTTGGGTGGCATATTCCTCCCTATTTTCTTCTGCCTGCAAAAGCTATGTTTACACACGGGGCATTCCCGCTTCAGGAATAACCTGAAGATGGTCAGCTTTGGTTTTTCACTAGAGAGTAAAACTGCTATCCTTTGCATGGGGAGATGAGGCGCTCCACCCACCCACTATCCACTCTGAGCTGCTCAGCAGCTCCCAGTGATGTGCCCATTGATGGCACTGATATAGGAGCCCTCATGCCATTTGCAGCAACCTGGATGGAGCTGGAGGAACTATGCTATGCGAAATAAGTCAGAAGGGAAAAGAAAAATATTGAATGGTTTCACTTATACGTGGAATGTAAGAAAACTGAACAAAGGGTCAGGAAAAAGACAAAACTTGCAAGCTAATGATAGATTTTAGACAAAGAGTAAGGGAAGGGAGGGGGAGGATGAGGCACGGGGGGGGGGGAGGGAGGGGGAGGAGCACCAGGGACTGTGGTTGTGGATCATGGCTGCTGTGGTGGTGGGAGAACTATGGGAACTACACCTGAGGGGAGAACAATAACATAAGAAAATAAAGTAAAAATTGCAGAGTGGACAAATGCAGATCACAGCAAAATGGAAAAGCAGGGAGGAGGTATCTATAGTCCTCTGGTTGTTGAGTAGCAGAGTTCCAGAAGAAAAGGGGGAGGGGTATTAGGGAGATCTAGCCAGACATGTGAAGCAGTGCAGTCAGAGAGCTGGGAGACTGATGGGATAATGACAGTGGGGAAAGCGAACCAGAGAGGTTTTCTTTTTTTTTTTTTTTCAGATTTATTTATTTATGCATACAAGAGCTGCGGTACAGGCCAGAGGTGCAGGGGGTGAGAGGATTCACCAGAGACAGAGTAGGGAGCAGAACAGGCGAATGACTGAAATACACTGCTGAGAGGAGCAGTGGGCAAGACAGGGAGAGGTCTGTCCCGCCATGTGGGTTTCTCCCTGGCCGGCCGGGAATCGAACACGCGCTGCAGAGGCTGCGGACAGCTTCACAGCGCTGCGCTTAACCCGCTGCGTCACCAGGGAGCCCCCAGGAAGGCATTTTAAAGGAAACATTCTAAAACTGGTTGAGACGATTTAGGGAATAGACACAACTTACTGACTTGTAGTGTGTATTAGGAGCCCAGCTAGTGTTACTTGGCTAAAGGTGATAAAGAAAGTGAAAAAAAATCTATTTCGCAATTTCCACTTGAGCATCAGTATTTTCCACTGTTTGTTTTCAAAACATATTAAGCCACCAACAAACTCAGCATTCTGTCACCCTCTGTTCAGCAAAAACAAGGAGAAACAAAAATCAGACCTTTAAAAGAGAAATGTGGCTGAGGGAAGGTTTTTAAATACACTTATCTAGCAAGTGCAATAAATCCTGATTATTCATTTCATAGTTTGTGAAAAGGTTCTTCACCAACTTCAGCTGTATAGGTTCAAGGCAACACTATCTGCAATACTACAAAATTAGAAAAAGTACATCATCCTTCCAACTAGAAGAGATCGCAAAGGATATAAAAAGGAATGTGGATTGAGTTTTGACTATTGCTACTGAAATGTGGTTTGGCACTTGCACCACAAGTTATTTATAAGCAAAGAGAACATAAAAATTGATAATGATGGACAAGTAAAATGCTTCACTGGGGGAAGGCTGAGGCTTATATTAATTCTGAGACTAAAAATTTAAGAAACAAACCTTTCTCATTTTAAGCAAACAATGCTTTACCAAATGAATTCCAGGGAACTTGGTTTTATTACAAATTGTATTGCTCCTCTCAAAATAGGAACTACAATGGAATCTGTCACTGATTAGCATGCAATGCTGTGAAGACGCTGAATATGAAAGAAAACTGAACACCCAAACTTTCCCAGAAAATAAATCACTGTGCATAGTATGAAAGACAGTCCTCATAAGAATAAAGTGGATGGAGAGAAAGCTGGCAATGCTCTTTGTAATGGATAACACCCTCTTTTGTCTGTTAATGAATGCCAATTCAAAGAAAATGTTCCATGAAGGTTCTGCAAAGTCGCCCAGTGGAAAAGCTCTTCAAACAGGAGGAGTTTACAATCAAGATCTACTTCTGATGACCAAATGAAGGAGAGCTCACCACAAAATATTAGAATCTCGTGTTCTAGATAATGAAAATCAAATCATCCTCTGCACTTCCTGTGAACAATGAAAAAACTACAATGGACTATATTTTATTTTGTTTTTTGCTTCAGCCACCAGGAAGCTCAGAGATAAATTCTAATTTCCATTCAGTCTAGGTCTTCTACCTTAATTTATAATTTCCATGATCCTGATGTTTTACCAGTTACTAGCTTTTTTTGTACCTTTATATATTCCTTTAAGTTACCTCAAAAACTCTGTGGGATGAGGTACATGTAGAATTTTTTTTAACTACCATAATTTTCACCAAATTTTATCCTGCCATTTGTGATGAGTGAAGTGTTCATCCTTTTTTTTTTAACAGAAGTATATGAATAGTTTTTTGAGCCCTAAGTTGTTGCTATTTGGTTAAAATAATTCTTAATAGCCTCTCTGTTAAGATGGAGTTTTTTCTACCCCTTCCTTGCTGTCTGCCCATATTCCTGTTAGCCACTTGGATATTTCCAATAAAAAATTAAGTAGTTTATGTGGTTTGCCTAGTTCTGCCCATGAATGCTGAATCTGTGATTCAGTCACTATGTTTCTTTGTGTATTTATTAAGACTGGGTATAAATAGGTATTAAATCAACTCAAAAATTTTGCCCCCTTACTCTAACTATCAAGCTAGACCAAAAATAAGATACCTGTTCATTGACTTTAAAAAGAAGAAAACTGCGGGTACTATTGTTAAAATGTTCTTTTAAGTTGTCCCTGACAACTTCTACCTTTCATCTTTCTTCTTCATAGCATGTAGTACATAGTAGGCACTCAAAGATTTATTGAAGGGGTGGGGGAGGTTGCTCTGATACCTCCCTGCTTTTATACCAAATGTTAACTCTTACTTGTAAAGCCACTTTTCTCCTTGTCCATTGGCAAGCTCCATTTCATCCATCCATTGTTTATAAAAGTTTAGCTGTTTTTTCATTTGACAATAGTCATGTCAGATGCTGCATCTTTTTCATCTTTGTGTCCTCAACATGGTCTTGGCGCATGGTGGTTTATAAATGTATTTGTAAGAAGGAAGGGAGGAACACACATTTCTTTGCATTGATCTTTTAAAAAAAAAGGAATGTAA